CACTTAATCCTTAAAACAACCCTGAAGAGTGAGTATTTCTAGTCCTTTTCAAGTGAGGAAACTGAGGCTCAGAGAGGTTAAGTAACTTGCCCGAGGTCACAAAGCCTTGCATAGGTGGTAGAGTTTGAATCTAGGTCTGTCAGGTGTCAAAGCCTGTGTTCTTGCCCTGGTTGATGTATCTCAGTGGACTGAGTGCCAGCCTGCGAACCAAAAGGTCGCTGGTTGGATTCCCATTCAGGGCACATGCCTGGGCTGCTGGCCAGGTCCCCAAGTGGGGTGTATGTATGAGAGGCAAACAATTGATGTATCTCTCATACATTGATGTTTCTCTCCCTCTTTCTCTCCCTTCCCCTCTCTCTACAAGTAAATAAATAAAATCTTTAAAAAAAAAAAGTCTGTGCTCTTAACCACCTCCACCCTGCCCCAGTGCACTCTGGGGTGGAATCCTGGAGACAGAGGTGGACTACACGGCGCTCCCGCCTGGAGAAACGGAGAAGACAAACGTTTTGTCTCGGTGCAGTCCTGGGATATTTTAACTCCATCAAATCAGCATCTGGCCTTCAGCAAGAACACCAGGACAAGGAGGGATGAGAATAGAACTGAAAGATGTCAGTCGCCCTCACCTGGGCATGGCCCACGGGGTATTGGGGAGAAGAGGTGCCAGGAAATAGGCAGTGCCAGCAAGGCAGGCTTCTGGGGGGCACCACGGGAGCCTCAGATCTGTGCTTAAGAATCCAGGATGCCTGCCCCTGCAAGGAAGGATGGCAAGTCCTGGGGAGCACGCCCAGGACTCCACGACCCCCCAGCTCCACCCCAAGTACTCGGGAAGGCTGCAGCTCACTAGGCCAGGGCTGCTTCACCTTCCAGGCTGAGAGAGTGCTTAGCGGTTCCTTCAGCCATGGGCCCACATGGGACCAAAATCGTCATCCCTGACTCAGCAAATGTTGGCCATGCCTACAATGTGCCAGGCATGGCTCTAGGCACTGGGCTTAAGAGCAATGGCCAAAGCGGACCAGAACCGCTGACCGACCCCCCAGAGTTTAACGTCCCAGCCCCTCCTCAGTAATCTGAGGGCTGCTGGCAAGAGCTTCCTTGGATAAAGCTGCCCTAGAGGGCTCTGGGTGCCCCCCAAATAAGGAGGCTTTGCAGAGGCCTGGTGGGGACAAGACCCCATCCACTAAAGAAGCTACCTCAATTCCATTCCCTTTGTCGAATTTCCTCCTTTCCTGTCTCGCTCTCCCTGCTACCTCACCCTGCTTTCTGGGATCCGCTCCCAAACTACCGACATACAAGTCTTTGTCTCAGGCTCTGCTCTCTGAGGAATCCAGCTACAACTAGCCTCATGCCTCCCCTACAGGGCAAGTAGTTTTGTTCCCATCCGCATTTTGCAGATGAGACAGAGACATGCAAAGGTAAAGTGCCTTGCTCAATGCCACACAGACAGTAAGAGATATGGATCCAGGCCTTCGGGCTCTGAATCCTGCTAAAGAATTATAGGTGAGGACAGGCAGGCAGGAGAAGCAAAGGCTTCTCTCAGAGGCCTGGCTATTGGGAGACTGGAAAACACAGTAGCGGAGCTATGAACCACTGGTCAAAGACAATGCCCAGAGGGCCCCATGCACCTGACCACCCCACTCCAGGAGGACTTCAGATTCTCTCCTGTCCTGCAATCACCTGATTTTTATTTCAATAAATAGATTTTATTTAGTTATTTACTTTTAGAGAAAGGGAGGGAGAAAGAGAGGGAGAGAAACATTGATGTGAGAGAAACATCAATCAGTGGCATCTCGTACATGCCCCCAGTTGGGGTCTGAACCCACAAGCCAGGCACATGCCTTGACCAGGAATCATCGAACCAGTGACCTTTTGCTTTGCAGGGTGATGCCCAACCAACTGAGACACTCCAGTCAGGGCTGCAATCACCTGATTTTAAAACCATACCTTTGTACCACACCAAATACATTGTTTACTAATAAATTTAAATTTTACAGTTTAAAACTTGCTTTTTGAAGGTCTACATGGAGGTATTCTCTCAACAAGTTTCCAGAAAATGTATTTATAAAGTACCTAACTCTATGTCAGGCACTGTTTTAAGCACTTTAATCTATTAGGAATCATCCCCATTTATAAATGAGGAAACTAAGGTACAGAGAAATGACCTGACTTGCCCAATTTCACACAGCTTGTAAATGGCAGTGTGAAGAGTAAAATTTGTACATGATAAAAATTTTAAACAGTAAAACAGTCACCAATTTGATCAGCCTCTGAGTGACTGAGATGGAAGCAAAAGTCGAACAATGCTAAAAGGAAGGAACCAGAGGCACAACTCTAATGTCCAGAAGATATGAATTGGGTGCAGGGTAAGACAGCAGATGTGGGCCAAGAGAACCAGCACCCTGGACCCGTCAGTCTGCAATCCTCAAGTCAGGCATTTCACTAAATAGCTGAGCAACGAGGCCCTGGGGGGAGAGGGCTTATCCAAGGTAACACAGCTCCCACAAGCCCAGGAACAGACTCTCATCTTCATACTCTGCACCTGTTGTAGATGGAGAGCCCCAGCTGAGAAGCAGCAGGCGGGAGGCGCTTTTTGATTTAAAGCCCTGAGGCAGGTCCTTTGCTGAGGGCTTCTGGCTAGAGGAGTCAGGGAGTTCAGATTCCACTGGCATTAAGATGAGAGGATGGCCCTAAAGATTTCATTTTAAATATGTCACGAGGAAACGCAGTGCTCCCCTGAGCTGATGGGAGGCATTTCCTTTCCTTGAGATCTCAGTGCACTGGTGAACTGCCGTTGTCTTTCCAGACTTCCCTAGATCAGGGAATTTCCAGAACCATAGGCAGACTGAGATGTGATCTTTTCCCAGGGGTCTCCCTGGCTATCGCCCTCTTCTGGCCACTTTCAGCATCAGCATGGACCAAGAAGAGGCCAAACACTTGGGAGGATCGAGGATGGCAGTGGAGGATGCATGGAGCTGACCAAACCACACTCCCAAGATCCTTTACTTTCCAGCCCTGCCCACCAATCCGATCTTATTTGCAAAGAGCCAAAAAGCATGCATGCTGTGGCTACCCAGTGTTTTCTCTAAAATTACTGGAGAAAAATGAGCCCCCAACAGGCAACCTACCTCAACGTTATTCCTCAAGGCTGAGACCAGGAGCTAGGAGCTCTCACAGACAGACCTATATACCTCTTTCACCTGGATCTGCAGCACCCAGCCTAACAGAGGTGCTTAATACATTCCCCAACAAATTGATCACTTCCCCAGTCCAGCTGCCCAGACCATCTCCTACAGCTCCCAGCTCACATTCAGTAGAGTCAAGGATCTGGCAGGTACAAGTGATGGCTGAGGCACCCTTTTTAGCCCCAACCCCACTGCTGCAGGCTTAGTGTCCGTCTTCTCAAGCCAAGACCACCATTCCTACAAAGACCCGTCTCCCCGGTCACAAGCTAGATAGGTCCTGTGATGACTGAGATACCTCCGCCAGGCATGCTACTGGTCGATACCCTCTCACACTACCCAGGAACCAGCTCTTCTGCCCACCTTCCCCATTCAAAAGCCCTGCAGGGTACAGCAATAAATGGGTATTCTGGAGGAATCTTCCCACACTGTAAGACAAAGCCCCTCAAAGCCTGGTTTGATCTTCAACCTCCAGAAGATCCTCACCTGAGACCTGAGGTCCTCCAGCTTCCTAGGACCCTTATCTTTCCCAGATTTCATCCAATTCTGACCTGCCGTCTGCCTAGCACAGTCCACAACTGCTGCAGGAGCAATAAAAAAAATTACATGGCCTTTGATATTACTCCATTTGTGGGTAATTTCCCCATAAATCATCTGAGTCCTCCTACAATTACTGTCCCCATTTTAGAGATGAGGGAACTGAGTCTACTACTATAAATCTCCAGGGAGTGAGGAATTGGGCCACTGGCCCATGGCGACCCCTCAGATCTGGCCCAGCTCCTGAGGGAAGCATCCTGCCTGTTAGGAGATGGAGACAGACTCTTCCCTCTGCGCATTTCTGCAAGCCGCCTAGTGAAAAGGCCAGAGCACGCCTCTAGGTAAACACTACTCAGGGCCCCTGGCCACCTGCCAGGAACCGCTGGGCAGGCCTCTGAGACCATCCTCTAACCGGAGGGTGAATACCCCTCTGTCCCAGCTGGGAACTGCCTCAGACCCACAGGTTCTCTTTGGAACATGTGCTTGAGTCCTTCTAGGGCTGACGTCTCAACTAATTATTCTGGCTTGGAAGCTGCTTCCCTCAAGACACAGGAGCCAGTTGGTGGCTCACGGGAAGCGGGAGCTACAGCGCCTAGACTGAGATTTGCGCCAGTAAGATTTGCGCACCCCGGGGAGCCGCTTCCTGGAAGGATTACGGCACCTGCCGGCTTCCATCTCCGTTCGCCAGGGACGACCCCCAAGCAGGGACCATGCTGAGGGGCCAGAGGGTAGTGTGTGGCCACTTGAGTCATGCACATTTTTCCTCAGCCACCCCGCTCCTTTGGTCTGCTGTGAAGCTTTTAGATTTCTAAAAATGTTCTTCCCAAGAGTAACCACAAGATGTTGGGAAACTTTACGCGAAACTTACGAATGCGGTGAAATCGGAGCCAGCGACTGCATCTGAGCCTGGGAACGCCGCGCCCAGCCCGACGCTCCACTCCGGCCCAGCGGGTCCCGCGGCAGCCGTGCCGACCACCTGGCTGTCAAGCAGCCCGGGTGCCCTCCCCAGCCCCGAAAGCCTTCTCAGGCTTGGGCACCTGCCGATTCGCTTAGGGAACGCTCCCGCGTCCGCCACCCCGAGCGCACCGCAAACCAGGGACCTGGACGTCCCAGCCCAAGTGGCATTTCAGCCGTTCCTTTGGGGCGGCATTGTTTTCCCGGGGAGCCCCGGGGACCTCGAAGGAGGGGAGGGGAGACCCGCCCCACAGACAGCGGAGCAGGCTTACCCACCACCTCATTTGCATTTCAAAGGCAAACTTCTGCCGGACTTGTGGCGGCAGCACCTACCCGCTTTGCATGGGTCGTGGTAATGCTCCAGCTGCTGCTCCGCGCTCTCCTCGCCTTCCAGCGCCGAGTAGTCCGAGGCGGCCTCCGAGCGCTCCCCGAGGCCCTCGGCGTGGTGGGGCAGCGGCAGCGGCAGCGGCGGCAGCAGCAGCAGCAGCAGTGGCCCAAAGGCTCCGAGTGCAGTCGCCGCGGGCATGGTTGCGACGGACTGGTTGCGAGGGACGAGCAGAGACAGAGAGTTGCGCGGAAAACTGGGCTCGGGAGAGGGACCGTATACAGTCGGGTCGGCCGCTGCCCGTGCGCGCTGGTTACGCGCAGGTGGTCAGCATGGTTCCGTGCGGAGCGAGCAGAGCGTAGCGCCCGTGTCCTCGTCGGGGTTCCAAGGAAGTCGCCCCGAGGAGCTACTTGCCCAGCGGCCGAAGCTGCGACTGTGGCGGTGGTGGTGGTGGTTGGAGCAGTGGCCGCTCCGCCCCTCTCCACCCGAGCTGGACCACACAGCCCTCGCCAGGGGCCCCGGGCAGCCAATCACTCGGGCGCCCAAGGCAAAGCCCCTCCTCTTCCCGGCACCTCCGCAACTTCGGAGGAAGGGGAGCAAGGTTAAGATGCTGAAGGCAAGCACCCTGGATCCGTGGAGCTCCCACTGGAGAACGCTGCTCCTTAAGATTAAGAGGCTGGACTTCCCGCCTTTTTATTCTCATAACTCACTTTACAACTCCCCAGTGCACATGTGGGCGAAGGCGGGCAGCAGTGGTTAGAGCTAGAGCATGGGACCAGGTCCGCTTCCCTACCTACTCCCTATGTGCTTTCAGGTAATCATTCCTCTGCAGGGATGAAGTCAATCTTCTCTCTGATGGCTTTTAGCGCAGGAAAAAAAAATCGAGGATTTCGATTCTTAAACCATGAAGGATGCTTCTTGCAGCACCAACCTAATCTAGTGGCTTAGGGACGAATGATTTAAAATGACAGATTTCCCTCTAAGTGACTCTATCCTTTAATAAAAGTCTAAGATGCTTCTACAGGCAAAAAGATTGACAAATGAACAGCTGTACGGTGCTATTTGTGTTGAAGTACAGACATGCTTTATTAAAGAAGCCATTCACCATTAACTTGATGGAATAAGAAGGACCATTTCTGAAGTCTTTTTTTTTTTTTTGCCAATTAGAAACACATGCCCGAATAATTTAGAATAATCAAGAGATATTTGAAACCCACTCCTACGTTGTCCCTTAATGTAAAAATTGCCAGGACTGAGCCATTTTGATTCATAGACATAGAAAGTATTATTACCATGAGGCTTTTCAAAGACCTTTTCTGCAAGCAAAATTGCCCTAATCAAGAAGTAAAATACACAAACGTGTAGACTATCAGCATCACACCCAGAACAATCTTTTCTCATCTAAACTGCAAGTAGAAAAAATGGACTCGACTTCCCTTTTGGGTTTCCACGGGGGTTCACAGCCTCTGATGACCAAACAGTTGACAGGAAGCCCACCCAGAGCTGGGCTTTACACAGGACTCCCGAACTCGTGCATCATGACCACCTGTCTTCTCCTCTAATAACTAGGACGAGTCCTTCAAGCCAGTCGAGGTTTAAGCTAACCACTGGAAGGGTGCTCTGGCTACTTTGTCCTGGCCCTTAGAAAGAAATGCAAGTGACCCTGCTGCTTCATGCTATCAGCTTTCATCAAATAAGCACATGCTGGATGGAGTTGGATTGGGTAAAACCTGATTAGGGACTGACAGGCAGAAGGAATTTGGGGGGGGAATGGATGCTACCAAATGGCAGAGAGGGCCAAGTGGCCATTAAACAGGCAATAGGTGTGTGGGGGAAGGGGGACATTCTGCCTAAATGCTGGAAGGAGCCAAACCCAACACCACAGTTCTCTGCCTTCAACCCAGTGAAGGTCGCCACTTGTCAGCAGACAAATCCACAAAGTCAATCTCGAAAAGACCTAATAAACTTCTGTGACACTTACAGGTCTCCAGATGGCACTAGGCAAACAGCCAACTGGGTTCATTAGCAGAGAATTCCTCTGGAAAACAGACATTACAGGAAACCTCTTGTGCAAGCACTAAGGTTGTGTGCTTTTATTGCCTCTAGTCCCCACCTGGAGAGTAGCTGCGAGGTCTTCTCACCAGCACTTTGTCCAAATATTTTGAAGACAGTGGTGCTCCTGGAGCTGGCTGCAGTTTTGTCAACAGCCCTGTTTAGATGCTACTTCTGCTATCAACCAACATCAACAATACATTTGGATCATAGGTTAGATAGTAACAAAAAAGGGATGATTAGTATCTTCTCTCATCTATATAGTTCGTGATCTCACTGCTCTCTCTCTCTCTCTCTCTCTATATATATATATACATATTAAATATTTTTAATTTAAACCCCATGAAAAAACTAGATCTAAAGATGCTCAAGTTTGTTCCATATTTAAATTGATATTATCTGTGGGCTTCCTGCCCCATAAATCATGGTCATGTGGAATACCTCCTGCAAGTGGATACGCTTTACTCCTCTTTAATCAGATGTTTGTTCTCCACCCAACTCATTCCATCTGCACCCCTACACCAAGTGCACCCCATTTCTCTTGCAGTAGCTCCCAAATCCCTCCACATTTACCAAGTGAGGGATTTGGGAGCTACTGTCATTCTGCCTTTCCAGGACACTACATATCATCTCCAAGGAAGGGAGCAGAACCTCCAAAACAAAGTGGGCACTCATCCTCTGGCACCTTTCTCAGTTTACATTACTGAACACTGAGAAGGTACTTTGGAGTTCTTTGGAGGTTATAAAAAAAATAGTAGGTAACAGTTTTTAGCAGCTGTTTAAAACCTTTTGGGGCTCTCCAAAGCCTTCGCCTGGGCTCCCCAGGGTGGCATACCAGGCCCTCCACCTACCATTAGGCCTTCCTTTCCTGAGTCCAGCCTTGGCTCTTGCCACCCATCTCTCCATTCTTGTTGCATTAAGCACCTTGTCGTTATCCTAGTAAGTGCTCGTGGCTCCTCATTTCCGTGTCTGTGCTGGGGACTTGATAACCACACAGCCTGCATCCTCACATCAGCATCTATTATAGCAGCTACTACACTTAAGACACCCTCCTACTATGTCTGCCCTACCCTACTGGCATGTAACCTACAGCAGACCTTTCATGTATCCCTGTCTGTACCCTTCACTCCCTTCAAAGACCTTCAAGGTTTAGTCCTGTATTAGTGGCTTAGAGTGAACCACTAAGACTAACCATAACATCGGCCCAGTAAAATGAATTACGTCAACTTCCTACAACCATCTCCTCCATTTATTTTCTTTTTAGAAACTCCTATCACCTTAATCTTAATAATTTAAACCTTTGAAAATAATTTTAAATACATCTGTAGACTACATTGACACCACATATCCCAATGTGGACTTATTCCCCTTTTCTAATGTTAAACCACAGATTAGCAGTTTTACTTAATAAAAGTTCTCACATTGAAATCCAGGAGCTGGCTATATATAATAGGTTGATTCCCTGATTCCCTTAGTTTTCCAATCAGACAAAAACTGTTCATTAAAGAGCTCAAAAGTCATCCAAATTTATACCAACAAACTAGCCACGGGAGCTGTCAAGTACAGGGGTCGACTGGGGCAGCTAATAAAATCCGGGGGAGAAAAGAACCGAAGAGGTTGACAAGGATTTAAATCACTAGTTAAAACTGGGGATGGAAAAAGTACAAACAGATCAGGAGAAATTAACCTCTGACTGTGACATAGCACAATGAAAAGAATCCCTTCTGTTGGTACAGAAGAGCCACTTTCAGTGTGACCCCTGTGTGTATTACCTGAGCCACAGGCTGGAGAGAGGACATACCCATTCTAGTTACAGCAACAGGACCCCGAACCCTGAGATGGCTGCCGGGCTAAAAATAAGAGACCCTTTCATGGCTTCTACAAAACCTAAGTCTACCCTATGGTTTTCTCAGGATGGTTTTAAGATAACATATCTGAGACTCCTTTGAGAAAATAAGTACTAAACAAAAGCAATCTATTATCAATCAGGATAATGACAGGCATGGGCTAGTGTGGGGTTTAACTGTAGGATAGAGATTGTATGAGAAAAATGTCAAAAAATGATAATGAAAAAACATTTAAAAAAGGATAACTTATTTGTTGTAATGTTCTTTCAACTTTCTATACACTTTTTTTTTTTTCAAAATACAAAGTTGGGGGGAAATAAAATGTCAAATTTTAAATTCTTCAATTCAGGGGTCAGCAAACCACGGCCCACTGTGGTGGCTGTCATACTGGAACACGCCCACACAGCCATACTTACTAGTCACGCACTGTCTGCTGAGTGCTGACGCAGTCCCGCAGCTGCGGCAAGAGACCACGTGGTGCTCAAGGCCTCGAACGTTTCCTATTTGGCCCTTTACAGAAAAAGGTCTGCTGACCCCCTGCTTTATTAAAGTGTGGAAGGCTATCAGTAATCTCTTCATATGCATGCCAGTAGTAATAGGTTATCCCTTACTCTTGGTTCACCTGTTTCAAAAAGGAAAGAAAGAAAGGATTCAAGGGGAATACATTTCACTTTTTATTACTTTTTAAAAATCCAACTTCAGTTAAACAGACTGGATTAGAACCTCAAATGTATATGATACATTACATACTGGACTCTATTACTAAGAAGCCAGTTGGAATATGACCTACACAAACCAAGGGTGTGTACAAAATGGAAGTAATTACCACCAGTAACTATTTCCTTCCAACTCTGTCACCAATTACCTGTGCTCTGTGGGGATTTATAGATTCAACTTTGACAGAGTTGAAAAACCCAAGTGAAACTGCCTTTTCCAAGTGTGCTCTACAGGCCTTCAAACAGAATTCCATGTTATTTCTTCCTTGCCCTCGCTCTACTTAAAATGTTTTAAGACTTCAAATGACTTAAACTGACAAATTGCGGTAAACACACAGAGTGCTGCTTTATCAATAATTATTAGCAATCCTAGTTCATCAGTACTTCAATATAAGCAGCTTTCACAACAGTTCTTTATTCCACTTCCTAACACATTGAAATAACTTAATTTTTACTTTTGTCTTTGTACTATTTCTGCCTAAGGCTCCAATAAGAATGTTAAATCAGGTAGCTTTTAGAAAATGTTCACAGGAGGGCCTAGGCATTCCTCGTGCTCAATTTAAATCTCACAAAATTCCTACAGCTGTATGTTAACTTTCTGATCTACCCTAACTCTCAGTCTATTTCTGAATACACTTCCAAACCTTAAAATTGTCACTTCTCTTATCACTTTAACATTTCAATTGCTAAACTACAGCTTCATAACTAAAATTTTTATGAAGACATAAAACATTAATAAATACTTGTGTTTTCATACATCATTATTCCTATTTATTATGTGTTCCAATAAATCAATAAAATGAAGCACAAAGACACACAAAAACCTAAAC